CTGCTTTTCATGCAGGAACAGGTTTTCTTCGGGCTAACTACAAAACTTCAGCTTATTTCACTCTTGACATTGTCAAAGCGCAGTTTGTAAAGATAACTTTTTTCCGCTTTATCAGCTTTTTTTATATTCTATTCAATTATTGTTAACCTCCCTCAAAAAGCCAAATAATATAAATGCTGTTGTTAAAAAAAGCGTTTTACCTGTTTTCGTGAATTGGCTACCCAAAGATCACTATGCTCAAAGGACAGGGCAAAATTTCCAGGAGAGAGGCATTAATTCTTTTTTCCCACGAGGTTACAAAGAGAAAATGCAATGATTATTATTAATGTAATATACTCTACCCACGAGTTTACGGACAGCAAATGCAGTGATTATTATTAATGTAACCATCAGGTATGTTCTACCCACGAGGTTACAAAGAGAAAATGCAATGATTATTATTAACGTAACCTTCAGGTATGTTCTACCCACGAGGTTACAGTGATTATTAAATGTAACCGTCAGGTATATTCTACCCACTAGGTTACGGAGAGCAAATGCAATGATTATTATTAACGTAACCTTCAGGTATGTTCTACCCACGAGGTTACAAAGAGAAAGTGCAATGATAATTATTAACGTAACCTTCAGGTATGTTCTACCCACGAGGTTACAGAGAGCAAATGCAGTGATTATTATTAATGTAACCATCAGGTATGTTCTACCCACGAGGTTACAAAGAGAAAGTGCAATGATCATTGTTAACGTAACCTTCAGGTATGTTCTACCCACGAGGTTACAAAGAGCAAATGCAGTGATTATTGTTAACGTAACCTTCAGGTATGTTCTACCCACGAGGTTACAGAGAGCAAATGCAGTGATTATTATTAATGTAACCATCAGGTATGTTCTACCCACGAGGTTACAAAGAGAAAATGCAATGATTATTGTTAACGTAACCTTCAGGTATGTTCTACCCACGAGGTTACAGAGAGCAAATGCAGTGATTATTATTAATGTAACCATCAGGTATGTTCTACCCACGAGGTTACAAAGAGAAAGTGCAATGATTATTATTAACGTAACCTTCAGGTATGTTCTACCCACGAGGTTACAGAGAGCAAATGCAGTGATTATTATTAATGTAACCATCAGGTATGTTCTACCCACGAGGTTACAAAGAGAAAGTGCAATGATTATTGTTAACAACACCCGTTCAATTTAATTGGGACTCGTTCAATATAATTGGGACTAATTGCTGTTAGCTGTTATTGCCTGTTATCAGCCATTAGAGCCAATCAGGATCAAGATTATCTTTGGCTAAGAGCTAGTCTAATGTTATCAGATAACAAACCCATTAGATCCAATGGCAAGCTTGTTAGTGAATAACGGGATAACAGCTAATAACAGCTAATAATACTTCACCCATTATACCCAATCACAAGTTTGTTAGAGAATTAACGGGATAATATGCTACATTCCACAAGTGTGAATTTGACCCGTGAGGTAAAAATCTATTTCATGACAAGTCAGTGCATCATTCTCGAGTACATACTGGAAGGCTGCACGCATATATGCACATTTGATCCATTAGCTGCCGTGAACTCATCTAAAACTCTTTTTGGTTTATTTATCATGTTTTTGAAAAACGTCAAAATTTTACCGTTTTCAAATAACCGATAGGCTTTTTAACCCAGCACCTACGAAACAGTGGAATGTTCAAGAATAGAACAAGAAAATCAGAAAATTACTTTATGATCTTTGAAGAAGCGTAGCTCATAACAAGCATGCAACTATCCAACGATCTCTCGATAATAGGTCAGTGATACAATAGTTGTGAATAGGAAACAGAACAAATCAACACTGCCCAGAGGAAGTTTATCAGTTATCAGGTGACAATTGCTGACATTCCAGCCCATTCCTGCACGCAAATTTCTTAGACAGTACACTAACACATTTATTTTCTTATGTTAAAACGATCTTTACACTTCCCTTTATTTCACCTTGATTTAACGATGAAATCTGTTTAGAATGAAAAGAAAGGCAAACTTGACGTCACCTAAGGAAAAACTGCCGTTTCCGTTTTTCATTTTGCACTAAGCATCACTTTTTAAAGACATATTTATACGTAAAATGTATTAACTTTTATAAAGAAAAATTTTGAAATGCCAGAAAGGTTTTACTCTGACACGTTTTGAGAAACCTTTTGTTTGACCATTATTCGGCGATCGATCAGATTTAAAGGGCACATTTTTACGCGCCCTAAAAAGTTGTTAGAAGAAAGTAGCGAGTATAAGTTATTTAGTCATACAGCGGCGGGACTTGACGGAACGCAAAGAGAGCGTTACAATCTAATGGCATACGAGCGACTGCAGGCATCTCATGACATGTCGACTTCGAGATAACTATGAACGGCTTTGAATTCTTTCCATGTGCGAGAAAACAAAAAGTATGCAGACACGACCAAAGCGGGAATATGTTAAGGCAATAATGGCCGATAATCAAGGCACCATCAATTGTGATGAATGGTGAACAAATCTACTCTTTTTGCTGAACATTTTAAACGGTATTACAAAACAAACGCACTCTCTATTTGAGTCATGCTTGTCACAAAACCCTTTCATTCCCATTCATATTAAACAATTACTTTCGTTATCCGTTTTGGCGCCAAAGTCGGTACCTTTGCGCCAACTTTAATTCTCGTCACGTCTACTGGTGTAAAATCGATGTAAGGTGCAGTAGAAAACTCAAAGTTTCTTACGAAAAGTTCTCTTAAGAATCGACATATTATAATGCCCCCCCAAAATAATATAAAACGCTTACCTCAGGTGTTACTTCATTTTCATCTGGAAGAATATATCACAAAAAGTATTATGATGTGTATGTATCCTTTCGCGTCCAGCAATGGCCTTTTTTCGCGTCTCTCTTAATTCCGGAAGTGAGTTTCGTTTACGACACCTTTCGGAAGTAAAAATTTCGAGGACTACGCTTTCTGCTCTCATTTTTGGACTTGCCCCAGAGCAAAAGATTTCCCTAGGAATTCTCCATGTTCACATGAAAGGACGGCTTATGTGGGAGAGTGGGTACGCACACAATAGCCCTTTCTGCTCTCGTTAACTTTAACAACCGGCTAATCAACATTTTCCGGCTGTACTCTCTTCACTATTTGATATTCCCGTATTCTTGCATTTAATCAATTTTGTATATACATTGTTTTATTCAAGTAAGCATGATTTAAAGTATACTA